GTGTGTGTGTGTCATACTAGGGCTTAAACTCAGGACCTCATGCTGTCTCTCAGCTTTTTTGTTCACTGCTGGTGTTGTACCATTTGGGCCATGCTTCCACTTCTGCTTTTTTTTTTTTGGCTATTTAATTAAGAATAATAGTCTCTCAGATTTGTCTGGCCAGGCTGGCTCCTAACTTCAATTCTGAGATTTTGGTCTCCTGATTAGCTAGGATTATAGATATGAGCCATAGACCACCATAACAGTATGTCCTTTTGCCTTATCCTACTTTAAAGCAACAGCCAGTGTTACCCTGCCTTCTCTCTGATATATCCAATGTGTCTTAGAGAGTGAGATTTTGTATTTGCACCCCCAAATTGAAACTTCGAGGCACCCAGATGGGAAGCAGAATAGTCTGTGTCAAGATGAAGGTTGAGAGGATTGAAGGAATTGCTCTGGACAGAAAAACAAAAACAAAAACACACACACACAACACACAAAAAAACAATGTGTTCATCCCTTCTCCTTTTAATGGCTAGGACATCGAGTCCCTCTGCAGTGCTGTGGCTCAGGATGCAGATCATTGTGTGATGTCATTGTGAGAGGTGCCAATCTTGAGCATCTTGCCTTCTCATTGGTACAATGGAGACAAGATGCCCTGATGAATAACTGAATAATAAGCTCTCTCCTAAGTCCCTATAAGGATAAGATAGTTAGTCCTGAACTTGCTCCTTTGAAGTTGTTGTTTCCACTCTACAGATGGAGAAACCGAGGCTTGAATAACAAAGAAAAACCTGTCCCTAGTCGAGTTCTAGAAAGTAACTTCAGATGTGATTCAAAACCTGGTAGCATCTGTATTTTGTTTTGTTTTGTTTCACTTTAACCTAAAACAGTTCCCACTGCGTTGTTCAGTGGCTTGGGTTCCAGCTGACAGACAGCTCCAAGCCCTGTTTAAATAATCTGAAGTCAATCCCTGGTTAGGGAAGGAAGCCTTGATTTTCACTAGAGGAACAGTAGGCTGCATCTTCCAGGAAGTTAGCAGAGCTCAGCAGGAGGCAAACCACAGCACTTTTCAACAACCTTGTCAGTTCCACTAACCCTGGACCTTCCACCTGCAGGTCCCAGAACAGCAGCTGCTCTGGAGGATGCTGTGGCTGTCTGTCTTCCTTTAAAAAGCAAACTGTCCCCCCTCCTTGCCACCCGCTGGGACCCCACCTGAGATTCCATTCCTGGAGTTGGAGGTCTTCCCCCACCCCCATCCAGAAATCCAAGAAAGCCAAGGGGAGGAGGGATGGACAGCTTTGACAACAGGCCCTGAACTCTCCCTTTTAATGTAAACCAGATTGAACATATGTCATTCGGTAAATCCAGGAGTCCAATTTGAGGCTTGTAATTTGCTGCAAGCTTCCCAGCTCGACAGGGCAAGGTGGGCTGGCCTGAGAGCGTCAAGGTACCGGGGAGAAGATGTAATTTGCCCTCTGTGAGCCTGCATGTCGGCTCTCTATTATAATTTTTTTTATTTGTGCTGAGGTTTTGTGGTTTAAAAAAAGTCAACTAGATTTATTTTAAAATTAAGCTGACCCAACATCAAAGGCAGTGAGAGGAGGCTGTTTATTAGAAAGAACCCCTGTGTAATCTTTTATAGCCATATTCTCTTACAGGGCACCTATCAGCAAATGGTTAGGAGACCTTTCAAGAACAACTCGCTCTATTTCTTTGACCTCAAACTACCCCCCCATGAGTGAAAACCTCTTTGTAAGGGGATTTAGAAGCCTCCCCTCTCCTTCTCCTCAACCTTTTAATCTAATCCTGTTTGTAACTTGACATGCTGCATAAGAATGAGAAACAGAGACTTCATTCCCTCACCCATTTCCTTCCCACTGTGGTCGGTTCTACATAGCAGGATCCTCTCAGGCCAAATAATAGGCCTGTGTGGCCCATGAACTATGTATTTAGGAGGTAGAAAAGGGTTTGTGAATTAAAGGTTTTCTCTGAAGTCTAGAGCTGGTGGCTCATGCCTATAATCCTACTCAGGAGGCTGGGATCCAGAGAATCACAGTTTAAGGCCAGCCCTGGGAGAAAAGTCTATACAAACCCAGAGAGAGAAAAAGAGAAAAGGAGGGAGGGAGAGGGAGAGAGAGAGAGAGACAGACAGACAGACAGACAGACAGACAGACAGAGATTTTCTTTTTGAAAAAATGGCAAGTAACACCTGAAGAGTTTGCATGTTAATATTATAAAGGATTTATTTTGATCCCAGACACCCAGATGGTTATATTTGTTTACTGGCTTATGGAGGAAAATCAAGGGCCTCTGCTCAAGACATTTTAAATATGTATATATAGTCATTCCTCAAACCAAAATAGATCTATGAGCTGATGGAAAAATGACTTAAACTGGAAATACTCATCTCCCCTCTTGACAGCCACATCCTGAAAACACCAGAGCTTTCCTTGCTGCCAACCATGCTGAATCTTCTCCCTCACCTTTCCCTCCCCCAAAACACCCTGTGGCTGTGAAAGGATAACCTGTGAACCAAGGTTTGTACCATTTGGCTACAAGATGCTGGGGGAAAAAACAACAAAAACCAAAAACAAACCTTTCCTGAGAGATTCCAGAGCCCCTTCCCCTGTTCCCATCCTCCCCCTGGCCTCTGACCTATTGTACTTCACTTGTCTGCCTTAATAAGAGACCTTAGTTGTAAGAAAACGTTCAGATTGTTTCTCTGGCCAGGCTGAAGAAGACTTGATTGCCCTTCTCAGCTTGTTCATTACAATCAACCCGTTGGCCCGCCTCTCTCTCTCTCTCTCTCTCACTCTTTCTCTCTCTCTCTCCCTCTTGAGCTCCCCTCTCTGCCCTTTTCTTTATTCATACTCCCGATACTTGAACTATCTCCCTTGAAATATTCACTTGAAATATTTCCTTACATGAGCCCCATTTATAGATGAGCAAATCGAGTTGCACCCTCTCTTCCACTCCGTGAAACTGTCCCTTTAGATGACGTTCGCCTGCCCTGCTGAGCATAACTTGTCTGTTGAGCTCATTTGGTACTTGTACTGTCGCATGTCTGCTCACTAACAAGCATCTGTACTGATCTCAGAGTAACTTGTAACAAGAAGGCCAATGGCACTGCTGTTAGCATTCTCCATAGTATGAAGGGAGAGTGTCAAATTCTCCTAGCAGAAGGAAATGAGTGATGACAGCTGACATTTTTATGGCTCAGTGTACATGAGAAATGTTCTAGTGTAAACTCATTCACCTCATTGGAAAGTCACCACAGCACCACCAGTTAGTTAGGTCTCATGAAAGCACTGGATTTCATTTCTATTGATGGATCCTGTAGTCCCTTTTAGTTAACTGTATCCACGGTCATTCACTGATGGGTTTCTCCCCAAAATAGAGATGAAGTAACCAGATTTCTCAATGAACATAGACGGTTGCTTACTTTGGGAGACTGGCTATTTCATTCAAAATATTATATTCATTCACTGTATTTGATGTCAGTGACCTGCATCTTGTATATACATTTTTCTAATTTGGGAAGGGGAAGAGAAATAACAAAATGCTGAAACAAGGATACAGATTGACCCATTGTAACAATGAGATGTACAAGACACTAGGCAGAAAACGAACTTTACAACTTTGGGGGGAGAGGGGAGTTGGGGAGGTGGGAAGGGAAGGGATAGTAGGGGAAAAACAAAGGAGGAGGTAACAATGCTTGATAGGAAATTACCTTACTCATGTAACTGTAACCTGTCTGTACACTATTTTTACAATAAAAAAAAATTAAAAAAGTACACACTTCCATCTAGCAGGTGAAGAATTTCTGGAAAAAGTAATTTCTGAATCAACTATTTTACTGATGGTAGAACTATTTAAGTGGTCTATTTCCTCCTTCCTTCCTACATCCTCAGATGTAGGAAGGACTTTCACTTCAATTTTGCTCATTTGGCTACAGCAAGTGAGCTTTGGAATCCTGTTTTCATTCTACCACTTTTGTTAATGGCTTGGCCTTAATATTTTCATCTTTAGATGGAGACAGTAAACTCAATTCCCAGAACAACTAAGATATAAAATGAGACAACATATATCAAAGACTACACAATACTTCACATGTGGTAAATATGACCACCATGTGCTTAACAACATTTAAAGAAAAGACTTGTCTAGTAGAAAGTTCTAGAACAAATTGTTCTTAATGTAAGAACCCCTCTAGCACGTTAAGAAAATGAGGTAGTGACATCCACTGGCAGAGGGTTGGATAAACCTTTAAGGGGAAAATGACATATTTTGTGAGTCTCCACTGGAAAGTACGCCATGTTTCTTAGATCTCTGTGGTGGCTTAGATACAGACTTAAACTAACTTAATCTGGCACAATAAAATGTGCTTCCCTGTAGTATACAAAATTTGTGTCTTGAGAACACGTATCAACTTGTTGTCTAAATATGTAAGTTGGTAAATGTGTAAACTTCAGAAATGGTCTTGGTTGAAATTCCAGCAAAGATAATTAAATTAATGGTTTAAATATACAATGGAATGCAAAAAACTCATGGACATTTATGAGAAACCAATAAGATACTCAAGAGATTCAAGAGGGAAGAAAAAAATATGTTGACATCATATTCTATAGGTTTTATTTTTAATAACTAGCAATAAAATTTTTACGAGTTAACATTGCCCTGAGAACATTCCCTTCTGTATTACTGAGTTGTATCTGTAGATTTGTAACATAAACATAATCATGTAGATGTATTTCTTACGCATTTCAGTTACTGAACCCATGTGAACTTATACTAATGATATGTCAGCGGCCAGTCCTGATTTTCTCAGTATGAGTTCTGGTACCTTCACAGGATGGATGCTGTCTCCAGTGGTGAGGGTTTCAGATCTTTTTAATAGGGTTTAAATTATCCTTTCTGAGTGATTATTTAACAATCTTCAACTTGTTTCTGAATGGATAAGTAAAAAAATTTTTTTAATGTGTATGTATATAGTAAGAGTCTTTTCTGGATAATTTCAGAACTCCAAGTTATAACTATGCACCCAACATGGATAAACACTGGATTATGCAGTACACAGGACCAATGCTGCCCATCCACATGGAATTTACAAATGTTCTACAGCGTAAAAGGCTCCAGACTCTGATGTCAGTGGATGATTCTGTGGAACGGGTGAGGATATGAATCCACTCCAGGGAAAGGTTCATGTTGGGCTTCATTTGCATAGATCCGTTCCTGCTTATTTCTTTCATATCCCAGTATCCATGTAGGGACAGAGACAGAAAGGGAAGGAGAAGTAAGGGAGGAGAAATGGAGTGGGGGGAGCTTAGAGAAATACCAGATCAGCAACTTACTCATTATTCCCTCATTCTTCTCCAGGTTTAGTTCTTAAGGAACCAGTGACAAAAGAGAGAAAAAGACAAACATAAATTAAAGGTTCTGTCCTCTAATATCTTCAGAAATTAAGCAAATGATTTAAATGACTAAGACAAGTGGAGTATAAGGCAATAAAGATTGGTAATGATGTTGTTGAACTTAAAATTAAGTGCCTTGTCTAAAACAACAACTATTTAGCTGTAGCTAATTTTAACCATGTGGAAATGTGAATCGAGTATCATGAAGGTTTTTTTGCCTATTTAATAGAAATCAGAACTACAAAAAAAATTTGAAATTTCCTCAATTTTAAAATCTAGAATAAGGCAAGAAATACATGTGTAAGGCTAAGAGGCTGCCTGTTTTTAACCATAATAATTAGATAAAAGAGTACTAACATTAAAATTTGCCTTAACAATGGATTTTCATAGTAAAGTCTATGAAGTTTTGGTGGTAGAGAGGTTGTTCTGTGGTTTGATGTTGTTTTGTTTGCTGTTTTATCAAACAAGCAAAGCCTCAAGTGACATGTGCCAGATTCAAAAAAGTTACATTTCAAATATGTCACTGGATCTTTTCCCACCAGAATTGTAAGCAGTGAGAAAAGGTGGAGCATGTTCATATACTTTTTCACCTTACTAGAGCAACTCTTGGCTTAAAGAAGCCAGGCACTGATGACTCGACATGTGTAATCCTAGTTACTTAGGAGGCTGAGATCTGAGGATTATCGTCCAAAGCCAGCCAGGGCAGGAAAAGTCTGTGAGACTCTTACCTGCAATTAGCCACCAAAAATCCAGGAGAGGAGCTATGGCACAAGTGTCAAAGCACCAGCCTTGAGCAACAAAAAAGGACAGTGCCTACATGCTGAGTTGAAGACCCAGCACTGGCACCAATCTCTCCCCCCCCTCCAAAAAAGGAAAATAAGAAGTGGGTAGAAACCACAGTCATACTACAGAGTGCCATGCTATGTGACAGTTGACTCTGACTTGTGCACTGTGTTTCAGCTCTATAACATGCTGGTGGAGACTGGGGAGCTGGACAACACTTATATCATCTACACCGCCGACCATGGCTACCATATTGGGCAGTTTGGACTGGTCAAAGGGAAGTCCATGCCATATGACTTTGACATCCGTGTGCCCTTCTTTATTCGTGGTCCAAGTGTAGAACCAGGAGCCATGTACGTATTTCTCTGTAGGATTTAGCTGTTGCAGCTCATGTGTCTGACATCATGCCATTGCTAATCCAGTGTCTGGTTTCCTTTCAACCCAAACTAAAAAAGTGTCTGCGGGGTTGGTAATTCAGAAGATGAAAACCTTTCCCCCTGCCATGTGTTAAGGTAACATAAGCATACTGTATAAAGAGAAAGGCAAAATAACAGTATCAATGGCTAGTTTTCTCCTTAACCAGAATCTATGTCTTTTTGTCTGTGTCCATTGTCAGAATGTAATCCTTCAGATCATCATCTTTACATTCTCAGAATCAGAGCTGTACTGTTATTTGTAGAAAAGGTCATTGCTGCCCTCTTCCTTTTTTGTTGTTGTTGGTGGTAGTTGCAGGATTTGAACTTAGGGCCTGGGTGCTATCCCTGAGCTCTTTTGCTCAATGCTAGTACTCTACCACTTTGAGCCACAGCCCCACTTCTGGTTTTCAAGTGGTTAATTGGAGATAAGAGTCTCATGAGGACTTTTCTGCCTGGGCTGGCTTTGGATCTTGCTCCTCAAATCTCAGTCTCCTCAGTAGCTAGGATTACAGGTGTGAGCCACTGGCACCTGGCTTTACTTTTTACTTTTTAAAAATTACTACCATAATTTTTTTAAAGAAAATGAAATGTTATACTGCCTTACTTTCCTCAAAAAAATAAAGATACTTTTCTTTTTAAATTAAATTTGTAATATCTTTAAGAAGGTGTACAAATGGTAAGTACCATTCAACACACCAATTTACAAGTACTATGCATCATGATGGGTATGACCCCTTTATCATTCTCCCCCTTAGATACTTCCAAGAAAAAAGGGAACTAGAGTTGTTTCTGCTCCTTAGGTTGACCACTATAGCTCTTTCCACCCTTGTTTTACCATTGCAAAATTGGTTTCACATGCCTTGCCAATCATTTCAGAATGTTTTGTATAAAGTGTTTTGAAAGAATTATGGAAAGAGTGAAAAAAAAAGAATATTCAAAACAGCACCTAACTCGTGCCCTACTAGAACATTGGAGAAGTTGGACAGGTGGTGTAAAACCTGCTTCAGAGATTTTGTTTCTGAAGCTGGGGGCCTAGAGCCCAGGATTCTAAATGTTACCCATAAGTCCCATGTGCCATGGTGTATCCTGGGAGAAGATGATGGGAGGAAGTAAGGTTTCTCTGAACAACAGTGTTATGTTTTATGTGATCATTAAAAAGCTTCTTGGAAGCCAGCCACTGGGGCTCATGCCTGTAATCCTAGCTACTCAGAAGGCTGAGATCTAAGTATTGCTATTCAAAGCCAGTCCGGGCAGGGAAGTCTGTGAGGCTCTTATCTCCAATAAACTACTAAAAAAGCCAGAAATGGAACTGTGGCTTTGAGCATAAAAGCTTTGGGACAGAACCCAGGCCCTGAGTTCAAGCCCCAGGATCAGTTAAAACACAAACAAACAAACAACAGACAAAAACACCTTGGAACGATCCTATCTAGTTAGAAAGCTTTATATTTAAAATTATATTCAACACTAAAAACTGTGCACTTTTTCTTTAAACCATTTATTAAGAATATTGATGCTAAAGGCCCAGTTCAATAGAGGAGATAGGGACCATCTGGTTTTCCAAAAAAGCATGTATCCCACAGAAACCATGAGTCAGTTCCTATCTTGTCCAGCTATGCAGCCAGAGCTTTGAGGGCATCTCTCCAGCCTGAACCCCACGAGAGTCAATTAATCTTGCTCAGAAGCAGCATTGTTGATGGCTGTTCACTCATTTTGGCTAAATGCCACTGCCCTTCCTTAGGAGACTAGACGAGTAGGTGAGGAGGTAGAGGTCAATGAATCACTGCTGTGGGAAGGGCAGCCCTAAATGCCACCCTCTACCGTGTTCAGGCTGTAACTGTTGTCTCTGATTTTTCAGCGTCTCACAGATTGTTCTTAACATCGACCTGGCCCCTACGATCCTGGATATTGCAGGGCTTGATACACCTCCCGACGTGGATGGCAAGTCTGTCCTCAAACTTCTGGACCTGGAAAAGCCAGGTAACAGGTGCGTTAAAACACTTTCTCTCAGCCAGCTCCAAGCACATTGAACTCCCTCACTGGAGCCAGAGCCAGCCAGTAGCTACAACAAGTGGAGGCAAAGTATGCTTTACTCATGAAAATAACCTTGAGCTGTTGGTGAATACCACATTGACGGAGGTGCAGTCGTGGGCTGCAGGAAGTGAGAGGTGTTTCTTTTAAATAAACTTGTTAGCATAGAACCATTTGGAAAAAAACGTCCAGATGCCAACAGTAAATATTATTATTTTGCTTTCAGGTTTCGAACAAACAAGAAGGCCAAAATTTGGCGCGATACATTCCTAGTGGAAAGAGGGTAATTATTGGTTCCTGGGGTATTTCTGGGAACTATCCTAGTGGGCCACTTTTCTTATTGGGTATTTTTTTTTCTCTTTATTTTGATTGACTAAGCATGCAGATTTCTCCAGCTTAGTAGTGAAATTGAATGGTTTGTTACTTGTTTGCTATTAGATACTGAAGTAATTAATCCTGCATCAGAACTTAAAGAATAAATCTCTTAAGATGGGACCAGAAACTCTCAATGTTATGTAAAGCTTCCCTCTGGCCTTCTCGTTTCTTCCTCAACCATCCTTCCTGTCTTCCTCCATGCATCCTCCAAGGCTTGCTCAATTTTTGACTTTCTACCTCTTTTCCTTATGCTCCTTTCATTGTTTTAAATATGTAAATTCATGCCATTGTAATTAGTTCCATAGTCACTTCTGGTTTCCCTTTTTGACTTAGACAATTCATTGCCATGATGTTTTTTCTTTACATAAATTAGGAGAGAGAAAGGTATTTATATAGTTGTTTGTTAACAAAAAGAACTTGCACAAGGTTTTACTAATGCTTTGGGGGATTCTTCCTATCTTGACTTCATATCTACAAAGAACCCAGCTTGGAGGTTTCGTGAAGGACTCCTCTATACAAAGCCTTAACAACACCTTGTTATTTGCCATGGAGTCATGTGACAAGGAAGGAAAAGGGAACAAGCAGAACTCAGGGAAGGTAATTCGAATCAGTTCTCACATACAAAGCTTTTCTTTCTTTCTTTTTTTTGTCAAAGCAAATTTCTACGCAAGAAGGAAGAGTCTAACAAGAATATCCAACAATCAAATCATTTGCCCAAATATGAGAGGGTCAAGGAACTGTGCCAGCAGGCCAGGTACCAGACAGCCTGCGAGCAGCCCGGACAGGTGAGTGCCACTGCTTTTTACTACTACTCCATTTCTAACTTAAAATATCTCCTAGAAAATAATGTACAACCTGTAGGCATCGGCTTTCTATGTAAGCATGAGTCACTCACTGTGATACTGCCTCACCGAGAGAATCCTCTAACAGGTCCAAGCTGGGTCTCCTCATTACTACTTGTACAAAGATGGTGCTCAGATTGAGTTCTGTGCCAGAAGATAATGGCTCCATTGCTGGAGAAGATTCTTAGGGTCCTTGTTAACTAGTCATCAATCTGTAATTATGAGGCCATCTATCAAGACAATAGTGAATGCTGAGCCTCTGAACACTGAACCTCCTCAAAAGACTGGAGGGAGACTCCCTCTCTAGGCTGAAATGTTCGCAGGTAACAGACTAGAGGCCAGAATCAGTAACCTGGGCTGGAAAATGGAAGGAAAACCATATTCTGGGTATTTATTGTTTCTGTCTGTGCTTATAAACTTTCTACTATAAAATATTTTATTTATTTATTTATTTTTGTGCTGGTCCTAGGGCTTGACCTCAGAGCCTGGGCACTTTCTTGGAGTTTTGTTGCTAGTGTTCTAGTGTTCTACCACTTGAGCTGTAGCTCCTCTTTCAAGTTTTTCATATTTTATTGGAGAAAAGAGTCTCACAGACTTTCTTGCTTGGGCTGGCTTTGAATTATGTTCCTCAGATCTCTGCCTTCTGTGTAGCTAGCATTACAGGCATGAGCCACTGGCAACTGGCTCTAAAATATTGTAAGTGAATCTTCCTCATTATTAAAAATAAGCCTACCCAGAGCACCATTTATTATAACAATGAAAGAAGTACTTCACAATGGATTAACAGTGCTTTTGAGGAAAGTGAGACCATATCAGCACAAAACAACTTTAAACATTCTTGAATGAAATCTGTGCTAACCAAAAGGAAGTCTATATCCTCTAAAAGAAAATGCCATGTTATAATGGGAGAAGAAAGAACAAATTCAGAGGAAAGTGAAGAAAATAAACTTCATTGATCATTTGTCTTACCATAGTCACAGTATACACTTACTCAATTTAGTACATCTTCATTGACATTATCACTTCTGCCTCACAAATAAATATCTAGTATGTTGAAAAGCAAGGACCCAAATGAGAGTTGTCTAATTAAAAATGAAATACAAATATAAGCCACTTGTTGCCTTCTAAGGTAAGTTATATTAACTAAGCAGGAGTTTCAATTTTGTGTTTTCTTTTTAACTTCTCTAACTTCTACACATTCATATAATAGCCCATACCAGCTCAAGGTATTAGGCAAGATATGAGCCACATGTTTATTATCACACTAGACCAATAATAATTTTTATTATGATTCTTTTGTTGTTGTTGTCAGTCATGGGGCTTGAACTCAGGGCTTGGGCACTGTCTCTGAGCTTTTGTGCCCAAGACTAGTGCTCTACCACTTTGAGCCACAGCCTCACTTCCAGTTTGGGGGTGGTGAATTGGAGATAGTCTCACGGACTATTCTGCCCAGGCTGACTTCAAACCATGATCCTCAGATCTCAGCCTCCTGAGTAACTAAGATTAAAGGTATGAGCCACTGGTGCTCAGCTATGATTTTTATCTTATGATTTTTTATTATGATTTTTGTTTTTCTTAAGATTCCAATGTGTTGAATGCACAATCATAATAAAAACTTTGATGCTGTTTCCTCATTTTTTTTTAGTTTTGTGCACAGAATTCCTTTGAGAGAGAATAGTGTGGGGATGGTGAGTGGTTGAAGGAAAGAGAAAAAAGAGAAGGAAAGGCTTCAGGTCATTCAACGATATCTTAATGGAGAAGCTTTGGCCTATTCATTACATTTAAATATGAAGTCTTCAGATCTTTCTCAGGGAAGCTCTAAGCAACATTATGAATACAACTTTATAATTGTTTTCTAGCTCTAAGATAATTTTTATGAGCCAACCCCAATAGGCTAATTGACTTTTATTCAGGAGTTGGAAATGTTAACTGTATCTCATGTAAATTGGTGATCTTGTATGCGTTGGGCCTTCTAAGTGATAAATATGATAACCATATTGGAATAAGATATACTGCACACATACTTACTTCAAAGTGTTCACATTTGCAAATCTCTCCATATGGCTTGCATTGAAATTTTCCTTTATGTCCTAAAGGGCAAATGTGGCATAAGTAGATTTAGCACAAGCTGTACTTGTACCACATGCTAACAGTATTAAAAATTTAATTGTGCTTTTTCATACTTTTCCAAACTTATTTTGCTTTCATGAAATCAGTCTTTTTATATGTGGCTCCCAGGAGTTTTTCTCTATTGTTTTACTTCTCTGTGAATCTGTCTAGCCTCTATCACATGGAGAATGTCAGCACCAATCTTAAAAGTGCCTAAATTCATTCACAAAGAATTAGGTAATATCTCAACGGTGATTCATTTGTTCTTGTGGTACTGGGATTGGAATTCAGGGCCTTGCCCTTGAGCCATGCCTCTAGCCCATGATGATTTTTCCCATATGATTTCTTTAAATTGAGCAGAAGTGGCTTATAGGAGAGGTGAGGACCTAGAAAATATGTCCAGTTACCTCAGGCTTCAGTGAATCCATGCCTATACCAGCAAGGTCAGCACCACTGGGCGCTTGTCTGCAATGTAAATTTCCTGCTGAGTATGGCAACTCAGATCTATAACCCCAGCTATTTTGGAGGCAGAGACCAGAAGGATAGAAGTTTAAGGCCAGCCTTAGCAAAAAGGTGAAGAGACCCCATCTCAACCAATAAGCCAAACATTGTCTGGCCTATCAGCCCTGGTTTCTCAGTAGGTTATAATTAGGAGGATTGAAATCTGAGAACAGTCTGAGAAAAAAATTTTTTTTTTTTAAATTTAAAAAATGCAGAAGTCTACTTGAAAACAAAAAGAAGAAAAAGAAGAAAAGGGAAGGAAGGAAGGAAAGAAGGAAGGAAGGAAGGAAGGAAGGAAGGAAGGAAGGAAGGAAGGAAGGAAGGAAGGAAGGAAGGAAGGAAGGAAGGAAGGAAGGAAAGGAAGGAAGGAAGGAAGGAAGGAAGGAAGGAAAGATAAATTCTCTGGCCACTTCCAGACCTACTAAACTGGATTCTCTAAGTCCAACGATCCATGTTTGAATGTGTCTTCAGGGGACTGAAATACATGTATTCTAACTTACTGCTGTGTCTACTGATGGGGCTCAAACTATATAGCTTGAGAATCTGAGAACATCAAAAAAAACATTGAGCCCCTTTAAGGCAATTATCAAGTCCATGGATCAAACCTTGTAAGTCCTTTGTGCTCTGTCAAATCCTTGTCTCAGACTGTTGCACTTCTTGTTGGACTACTTTGAAGATCATTAATTAATTAATTATTAATTAATATTATTGTCATTTTGGTGACAGTGTCACTAACTTGAGAAAAGAGTCCAGAGTAATGAGATGGTTCAAAATGACAGGCTGGTACTGACTTGCTAGGATTCTACTCCTTTGATGGCACAGTGGACCTCTTCTTACCAAGGTTAGGAGCCTTCATTCTAAGAGAGTTGAAACTGTAATTTGACTCCCTGATGTGTAAAGGAAAATTCAGCCCTCCTGGCCCCCTTTCTTTAGTCTTAATCCCCAGAGAGACCACATGGCCCCTCCCACTGCACCCAGGCCTGCATCAGGGTACAGTCATTTTGGACCCTTGAAGCAAGTTACTTAAGTTCTCCTGACTCTCAGCTTTTCTGTCTCTAAAGTGGAAAGAAGTAATCTCACTCTTGTGAGGATTAAGTGACATCATCCATAAAGTGCTAGTGAGACTGCGATTAATTTTCTCCCATGTGTGAATGCTGGATGTTGTTATGGTTCCAGGCACTCTTACCTGTTGTTTGTGTTTCTAGAAAGCCGGCAGGGAATTAACGCGGGCCGCAATCCCAGACGCCTGGCATCCCTCCTTGTCTGTGGGCACAGAACAACCAGCGGGGACTAATTAACACAACAGGGACATATGTGTTTGCATTGCTTCCATGTTTCAGAATTAATCTGAGACAAAGTGTGAATTCCCACTACTCTCTTGGGCTAGGCATTGCACCTCCAGGCTCATTCCTGTACACACATTCTCCAGACACACACCTGCACACTCACAGACAAATCTTTACCTTGTGGTTAAAGGACTTGTGCAAACAGAGACAACATCAGTGGTGCTCAGCTCTGGTTGAAGTTGCAAGCACATTAGAAAACTGTCACTAAGAATTCACCCACTGCCTCACCCCAAACCAAGCAGATCCAAGGCATCTGTTTGTTTGTTTTTTTAGTTTTTGTTTTTTGTTATCTTTTTTTTTTGGTGTTGTTCCAGGCCTGGGGCTTGAACTCAGGGCCTGGGTGCTGTTCCTGAGCTTTTGTGGTTAAGGCTAGTGCTCTGTCATTTTGAACCGCAACTGGGCTTTTTGGTGGTTAATTAGAGAAAAGAGTTTCACAGGCTTTCTTGCTCAGCCTGGCTTTGAATTTCCATCCTCGGATCTCAGCCTCCTAAGAAGTTGTACCAGGGTACACAAGCACGTGTACGTGCGCACGTGCACACACACCCACACGCACATGCACCTAGGAATGGCATATGTGGACAATATATACCACTCTGCACATGAGCCAGCTCCAGAAATGTTCAAATCCACCTAGACAAATGAAACCAGAGCCTCTGGGAAGGGAAGGCCAGTGGCAGCCCTCTTTCCACCTCCAATATGATTCCTATGAGCAGAGGGTAGAGAAACACAAATGTCAAGTGAAAATTTTTGACTTGATTGGTTTTTTTCTTCTTAAATAGTACTTACGTAAAAGAAATTCCCTGGGCATCCAATGTTGAAGTACAATTTATACATTCTCTGGCATTTCAAAGGCAGCTTGATTTGTTTTTATGGCGCAAATGTCATGTCCTTTTGTTGAGCTGTTACAATTTAGTTTACCTTTCTACTCTTTGTCACTATAAAGCCAGAGATTTGTTTAAAATTCTGTAATGACACTATCACCAAGCA